TGAGACCTGAAACTGTAAAATTACTATAAGAAAACATAGAGTGAATACTCCATGACATTGATAAGGGCAAGGATTATTTGGATATCACTTCAACAGCACAGACAACAAAAGCAAAAAAGACAAGTAGAAATATATCAATCTAAAAAGTTGCTTCACAGAGAAGAAAACAATTATCAGACTGAAGAGACAACCTAGAAAATGGGATGGTATATCTGCAAACCATATATCCAATAAGAGGTTAATATCCAAAATATATAAGGAATTCAAACAACTCAGTAGTAAGAAAGCAAATAACCCAATTAAAAATTGGGCAAAGGATCTGAATAGACATTTCTCAAAAGAAGACAAACAAATGGCCAACAAGTATACAAAAAAGTTTAATATAACTAATTATCAAAGAAATATAAATTAAAATCACAGTAAGATATCACCTCACATTTGTTAAAATGGCTATTATCAAAAAGATGAAAGAAAATAAGTATAAGTGTTATTAGTAAGTTATTATGGAAAACAATATGGAGGTTCCTTAAAAAAGTTAAAAATAGAACTACCATATGATCCAACAATACCACTATTGAATATATATCCAAGGTATTGAAATAGGTATGTTGAAGAGATGTCTATACTCCCATGTTCAATGTAGTGTCAGTCGCAATAGCCAAGAAATGGAATCAACCTAAGTGTGCATCAAAAGGAGAAAGGATAAAGAAATTGTGGTGTAATGGATAAACAGATGGCCAAGGGGAGTACATTGACAATGACTGGTGACCGTAGTGATATTCAGCAATGAGGTATGTAGCACTTTTTCTAGGATGAGTTCACGAACTTAATTGTCTGACCTCATATCTAATGTAGTACTATTCAGCCTTAAAAAGAAAAGGAATCTGGGGGTGGCACCTGTGGATCAAGGAGTAGGGCACCAGTCCTATATACCAGAGGTGGTGGGTTCAAACCCGGCCCCGGTCAAAAACAACAACAGCAACCACAACAAAAAGAAAGGGAATCCGTGATTTGCAACAACATGAGTAAACCAAGAGAATGTTACGCTAGGTGAAATAAACCAGGCATGGAAAGATAAATACCATATGATCTCACTTATAGGTGGAGGGTAAAAAACTTCAACTTAAAGAAATACGAGTAAAATGGTTGTTACCAGAGGCTGGTGGGTAGGGGTATTGGCGAGATATTGGTGAAAGGACACATTTCTGTTAGACAGGAGGAGTAAGTACAAGAGATCTGTTGTACATCATAGTGACTGCAGTTAATAGCAATATATTATGTACTTGAGAATTGCTAAGAAAGGAGGCCTTAAGTGTTCCTACAACAAAAACA